CTTACGGTTATCCTCAGGCAATTTTTATCAATTGACATCGCAACGCTTTATTTTAAAAAAAAATAGTATAAACAAACGCACGACGTTGGATGTGATAGAAATAGAGGATGAGGTTGCGAAGAAGAAGAAGAAGAAGTGGGAGGTGAAGAAAAGCAAGGGTAAATGGATCAGTGGGTGGGCTAATTGAAATGTATCCAGCATTATATGAGCTCAAGAGGATTTTTTGTATGTATGCAACAGCTCATGATTTCAGATCTTTGGTTCAAAAGGTTCTTTGGATTCGGAAATGTTATTGCTAATTTTTCCTATTGGCTGATGTCGCAAATGCTATTTGCTTCGTCTTTTTTTTAAGTTTTCTAGTTTACAATCGGATCCCTGGTGTTTTTTCTTTTAAATTCCACACATGGTTAGCTACTTTGGTAGAGCTCTTAAAACTTACTGGCTTGAATGACGACTTATGATTATACTTTTAAAAGTACCATCAGTACATCGTATGTACATTTTATTCTGACCATTAATATCTATTACTTCAGCTTTACAGATTATTGCTTCGGATTTATAAGCTTCATCTAATGGACATCTATTTTTATTTCTACAGTTGCATAAATTACGAGTGTTAGCTATATTTTGCTGCACGTTAGTTTTGAAATTTCTGGAGGTTTGTCTATTTATTATTATTTCTAAATTACTAGTGCAGTTGTAGCTTAATTTAAATATGTTTTTATTAAATATCTTACGTAATTCTGAATCTTTTGGGAAGCGTTTAGTAAGTAATTTTAAAATAACTATTTTACATTTTACCTCAAAGTTAAAAGTTATCTATATATATATTTGAGATAACGATATATAAGTTTTTGTATATGAAGAACAATATTGGCTTAAAAAATATGTGACAAAGTGGAAAAATGTTTTCGTGTGATGCATTTTGTCCTTTTGGATATCATCGGACTAAATTTGTTACGTTGGTGCGACTACGCATGCGCACGAACGAGAGATGCTGGAAATTTAATTTTTGTGGGGGGCGGGAGTGAGTAAATAATCTAGCCGATTTCATTTAGATTCTTTTTCTAAAAAGAATATAAATAAAACCGGCTAGAAAATGTTGGGGATATATATATATATATGTGTGTGTGCGTGTGTTTGTGTTTTGTGTGTGTGTGTGTGTGTGTGTGTGTGTGTGTGTGTGTGTGTGTGTGTGTGTGTGTGTGTGTGTGTGTGTGAAAAGTGTGTGTATAAAAATATAAATAAACATATATATATATATAATCATATATTATATGCGCGGTACTTATTAGAAAGCGCTCAATATCAGAGATTGAGCTAACATCTGACGATCGCAAAAGCGAAAAACCCAGGGTCACAAACTCACATCAATCCAACCAAATATATATATATATATATATATACACGTTTCATTAAATAATATAGACAAGTGTTGTCTATTTATTTTATGTAAATTCTTTTCATAACGTCTGATAAGTTTAATAACATTATCATTGAACGAAGAAAGAAATTCACAATAAAATAAATAGACAACACTTGTCTATATTATTTAATGAAACGTGTATGAATGAAAAGATGCTGCCTAAATACACAATATATATATATATATATATATATATATATATATATATATATATATATATATATAATTATTATTTTTATGCTCTGCTTTTGTATCGAGCACTATTTTTTAAAAATAATAACTAAAATACTAAAGAAGTTTGGATTATTTACCTAACGAGTTCTTTCTTATTTTCTATATATTTTCACACACACATATATATATATATATATATATATATATATATATATATATATATATATATATATATATATATATATATATATATATATATATATATATATATATATATATATATATATATATATAAATATTGAGAAAGACCGAGAGAAAGGGCAGCCTGGAGTAATGGATAGCGTCTCGGATTGAGGAATAGGGGAGTCGAGTTCGAATTCCAGTCTGGGAAAGGTATGAATCCATCTCTCCCCCACCACCACCACCAAGCCAGTTATGGCTAAATTGCAGGTTTATGATTCCTAAGACATGCACTCAGTTCTTGCCTGGCAAACTAGCACCACGCAATCATTCTTCTCATTTGAACCTGTGACATGCAAGGATAAAGTTGCTAAATACTGGAAATTAAGCAAACACATAGTCACAGAGTTAAGTTTCCGTATAGGATTCCAGACTATGAAATGCTCAGATGGGCACCTCGGGGTAGTGTAATGGTTAACAAGCTTGTCTCGCTAGAACAATTACGACTATGAAATGCTCATATATAAATCAGGGACTGGAATTGTTTGGGCCTACAGATGCAAGTCTTCTTTTCAATCTAATCTATTGATTTATTGTTGCTATCCACTTATCTTTAACCGGAGCAATCGAAGATTTTTTCTTATTTCTTCCTTATCTGTCTTCAAACCGGTAAAAATTCGGATACAATTTTAGAAACGAATGTGAAATGAAAAAAAACGACGAAAAGTGCATTCTACACGTACGCACATACGCTCAAACTAGCGCATGGACGAACGAAAAAACAAACGCGTACACAAACACACATACACATTTTTTTTTAAGCATTTCACCCCAAGCAAGGCTGGAAGCCACTAGCACGCAAAGGGTTAAATAGAATTTGGAGCGAGAGCAGATCGGAGTGATAGAGGAAAGGATGAAGAGAAGGATAATTGAGAGATCAAGGCAACTGGAGATGTCTATTGACATTACATTTGAATAGTTGGAGATTATAGCTCTCAGGGAAACAGGAAAAGGGAAGGAGGTTCCACAGGCGAGAAGTGCGAGATATGAAGCTATTGGAGTAGAAGAGACGGATACATTTAACAGTTTCAACAGTGAAAGGGTGAGAGCGGGATGCCAGCCTCGTAGGACGCTTGAATTCATGAAGCCTGGGGAAAAATATCATCGGAGCAATTACCATGAAAGTATTTGTAAAAAAGACAGAGAGAGGCGATGGCACGTCTGTGAGAGAACGACAGCAGACGAGATGTCAGATCAGGGTCAATTACATCGCATATCCGTCTCTGGATCTTATCAAGAACCCCGAGGCAAACAGATATAATACACAAAACTTGCACCAACGAAAAGTGCATATAAAAATGAAAAATCGATAAGTATAAGCAATTTCTAATACGCCCTGACGAATGGACAGCTTGTCAGCAAGTGACAAACCTTTTACTTGTATTATGCAGGGTACGATGAGTGAATCGCCATTTTATATTTTTAATTGAGCGCATGCGCTTTGTTTGTCTTTGTTTTTGTCGACTGCACATTATAGTAAGGTCAGTTGAGCAATGTCTGTGAGAGAAAAAGCCCCATGACGTAGTTCACTGCGCCAGAAATTTGGAAACGACATGCTGTAATAAATGCCATTCGCACCGGGAGCTCCACTACGAACATTTCAAAGCGTTTGGGTGTCAATCTGAGGACAATGCAGAGGATTAGGAAAGGGTTGGATAATCTATCCAGTCAACATCATGGTGTTTAGAATGATTACTAGTGATGGCGACGTTATGCTTCCATACATCTTCCCACAAGGCCTCAGGCTCAACATGAAGGCCTACATCAAATGCCTTGAAGAAGTGGTGCTGCCCTGAGTCATATATATATATATATATATATATATATATATATATATATATATATATATATATATATATTTAGTTTATGAAAAACTAGGTAATCCGTATGGATAAACCTGAGGAGGATAAAATCCAGAGAGCTCAATGTAAATCCAGAGCAAATAATTTAAATAAAACAGACCCTTTTAAGGTTCCATGTAATGAATAATTTATTACATGGAACCTTAAATTGGTCTGTTTTATTTAATATATATATATATATATATATATATATATATATAAACACACACACAGAGCCAATGATGAAATTATTTCTACACCCATCAATTTTGAATATTGTCATCCATTTCTTAGAATTTAATTCCCGTATGATGCCAGATTTTTTATGTTAATAAGCACAAAAACGAATATAAAACTCAATTTTCAGAACAATAGGTTAAATGCAACAAATTTGATAGTCGAATTATGCCAAACAGGAAAAACAAAATTATTCGTACAGTGCGACAAATAGAAAAACTTGAACAATTTTCACAATATTAATAGTCAATTATGGGCTTTTATCTCTATAACTTGCTGCAATCTTTTTCTAAAGTTTTTGATGAGATTTGTTCGAATTTTCAATTCTTGCCATAGATTTTCAATAGGATTCACGTCAGGGCTCATCGAAGGCCATGGCAGAACTGTAATTTTCTTTTACTGAAGCAACGCAGTTACTGATTTAGACGTCTGTTTGGGATTATTATCTTGCTGGAAAGTAAATCACCGACCTAGATGAAGATTTTGCGCTGAGAGTTGTAGATATTTATCGAGAATTTTGATACAGTATGCAGATTTCATTATTGCTTTTATTGCAATTAATTGTTCAGTTCCTCCACTGGGCTAAAACAACGCCAAAACATCATCGAGCCGCCTCCATGTTTTAATGTTGCCACTGTGTTCTTTGGGAGGAAAGATTCATTTTCCTTGCGCCAAAACTTCTGTACATCATTATGTCCAAAAAACTCAATTTTTGTTTCATCACTCCATAGTACTTGTTCCCAAAATCAATTTTCTTTGCCCAAGAACGTTTTAACAAAATTAAACCGACAACAATGTGGCATGGTTTATGAAGAAGGGTTTGTCATGGTTGATTTCTATACGACCCATTTCTATTTAAACAACGTTTTATTGCGCGAGTATTTACGCTGATACACATTGTATCCAAACTTTTGGCAATGTCTTTCAAAACACCTCTTGCGTTTATATAAACCTCGCGACAGTTCTCGTGCAGTTCTCGTTGACAATTTGGGTTTTTTTTTCCACGCCCAGGCAAATTCTCTGTCGTGCCAAACTGTTTAAACGTCTTTATAATGGACTGTACCGTAGATCTGTCAAATCACGCTGAAACACCGGTTCTCGTTCGATCACCGAAGTTAAGCATCGTAGAGCCAGGTCAGTACTTAGATGGGGGACCGCTTGGGAACACCTGGTACTGTAAGCCCCCAAAGTCCAACACTTACCTCACAGTCGGTCGGGGGGGTGTAAACGGTAGTGTCAGAGCTATGCCGCCCGGAACTTCGTTCCTGGTAGGGCCACCCAAGGCGGACAGGTCTGACACACACACGCCGGCTAACAAGGGCTCTGGTGAAAATCCAAGGAGCGTCTGCATCGGTAACCGGCGGCTTCTGGTCGTTCCTGTCTCTGCGTCTGTGGGAACCCCGCGGCAAGCAAGAATGTTATCGTAGTAGGCCTGGGTACCATACTTCTGTAATTTATCCCAAGAATCTTCTCATAACAGGAAGAAGCCGGCTCAATCCGCCCAGGGTGAATGCCGCATCAGCACAGTAGTAGTAGTACAGTACCGTAGATCTAGGGATAGCTAACCGGTTTGAAAAAGTGCTGTAACTATTTCCCGACTTGTGGAAGTTAATAATTGTCTATCTCAAGTTAATGCTAAGGTTCTTTGTCTTCCTCATCGTGTTGTTAGCGTAAGAATGGTGATACTCTATGCACCAGGCAATGTTCTCTGCTGGAATTATCACAAATATTCTAAAGAATAAATAGTCTAGAAGGCTTCACCGATAAAATAATTATGTAGATTACTTATAGTTATAGTCAAATTAAAATTATATTTTCTACGGTACGAATAATTTTGTCTTTTCTTATTTTACATAATTCGCTTGCCAGATTTGTTGTATTTTATCTATTTTTCTGAAAATTGAGTTTTATATTTCTTTTTTTATTATTATTATTAACATATAAAAGACCTGGCATCATACGAACATTAACTTCTGAGAATGAATAAAAGTATTAAAAATTGATGTGTGTAAGAATAATTTCGTCGTTGACTATATATATATATATATGTGTGTGTGTGTGTGTATATATATATATATATATATATATATATATATATATATATATATATATATATATATATATATATATATATATATATATGTAGTCCAGGACGAAAATTTATAACATACTAGTAGTAGAGCCCGGCGTTGCCTGGGGATTTAACAGTAATAGATAAATCAAGTATCGCCCATCATAAAGACTGAAAAATAAAATTGACAAAGATTATTATTTAAGGTTTGTCTTAATTAGTTTTTTTTTTTTTACAAATTGGTCAAACTCAAACAAAAACATTGTTTTCAATCGTTATGAGTCGACCGATTGAATAGAATTTTTCAATTTTATTATAAACAATTGTCTTGTAAATGGAATTTTTAAAGCATTCTGAATGTAAAAATAATGAAAAAAGTGGGCAAGACAATAAGAAACACTACCTGCCCCCAAAAAGTGAAGTTTTGTTGAAACCGGTTGAAAAATGTAGGAAATCCGATCCCATATATAAAAGAACACACACACACACACACAGCCAAACAACCTGGGTTTTATAATAAGTATAACTCGATATGAGTTGTCCTCCTTTCATTCTCGCGATGCCTCTAAATCGTGTTTTCAAATTGATTTCGTGAAAAAACAATTGTATTTTTCCCATTTTTGGCGCTGTCAGAATCACCGCAAGGTAATTTTACGTAGTCCTGTGAAGTTTTATTGAAATCGGTTAAAAAATGTAGGAAATCCGATCCAATATATAAACGAACAGACACACACACACACACACACACACACACAACCTGGGTTTTATAATAAGTATGATTTATGTTATAATTTTCGAATAAATATATATATATATATATATATATATATATATATATATATATATATATATGAATGATAAGATATAGTTCTAAGGTATGCTACATTTATGGGTTAAAGTGATCAGGGACAGAATGTATGTAAATATAAAAGTGGACATTGAAATCAACACCCAGCGGCGACAGTCTGTTTCATGCTTATATTCAGTCGTCGTGATCTGAGGACTGGGTGTTGGCCTCAATGTTCTTTTTTTTTTTTCAGCAATGTTCTCCCTGTACAGGCCCCGGAGGTCACTCGAGGTAGAGGCTTACAGACGTCAGTTTGTACGGATAGGATGGAAAAATAACAGCTAACCTTAGACTTGAACAGGTTAAGATTGTAGTGATCGGGGAAACATCCTCTTGTCGCGGTAAGAAGCTGTTCGAGTTGAACTTACTTCTGTCCAATGAAATACGGAGGGAATGTTGGTGGTTTCCTTCAATGTAAGTGGCATGGCGGGTTCAAGCCGTGAAGGTTAGACATGGCAGAACCAAGGATTTTATATATATATATATATATATATATATATATATATATATATATATATATATATATCAGGTCATCCCATAAGTTCTGTCCGAATTTTAACTTTTTGTTGAAATGAACGAAATTTAAAGAGTATTTTATAATGTCTAATGGAGCTGAACATTATTTTTATGTTTAGATGCATTTAAACTGATCAAATGTTATTTCAGAGAACAATAAAATTAAATTTTGTTTGATTAAAACCCTGCTAACATGGAAGTACCCAGGAATCATTTGAGGCACATAATCCTTTATGAGTTTAAGAAAGGAAACTCAGCAGCCGAAGCGGCTAGAAACATTCACTCAGTTTATGGAGAGGAATGTGTGAATGAAAGAACTTGCAGAAGATGGTTTGCAAAATTCAGAGGTGGAGATTTCACCCTTGAAGATGAAGATCAAACTGGACGTCCAGTTGAGTTTGATGAAAAGCTTCTTGAAGCAGCCCTTGAAGAAAATCTTGCTTTATCAGTTGAAGAATTGGCAGTGGTTCTCAGTTCAAACCATACAACTGTTCATCGTCATCTTCAACAACTTGGAAAAGTTTCTAAACTTGGAAAATGGGTGCCTCATGAATTGTCTGAAAACAACCTCAAATCCCGAGTTGACATCTGCTTTTCTCTCCATTCTCGCCAACTTGTTTCACCTTTTTTGGATAGACTTGTGACTGGCAACAAAAAATGGATCTTTTATCGAAATGTTAAACATCGTAGACAGTGGCTTGGTAAAGGGGAAGGACCCCAGCCACAGCCGAGAAAGGAACTTCATGGGCAAAAGGGTTTTCTTTCAGTCTGGTGGGATCGCCAAGGAATAATCCACTTTGAATTCTTACCACCTAATGCAACAATTAATGCTCACATATACTGTCAGCAATTAGAGCGTTTGAAACCAAGCTTTAAGGAAAAAAAGACCTGCTCTAGTGAATCGAAAAGAGGTGATGTTTCATCAGGACAATGCGCGACACCACACAGCAAGAATCACGTCACAAAAGATCGAAGAACTTGGTTGGGAGAAAATTCCTCATCCACCTTATTCTCCCGATCTTGCTCCTTCAGACTACCATTTGTTTCGTAAATTACAGAATCATTTGGAAGAAACAGCTTTTGTAACACAGGAAGAGGTTAAAACTGACATTTGTGAGTTCTTCGAATCAAAACCAAAAGAATTTTACAGTAATGGAATTAGTAAGCTTGTTAATAGATGGAAGGAAGTCATAGATAATCAGGGAAAATACATTGTTGATTGAATCTATAATTAAATGTAACATTTGGTCACTTATTTTCTTTATTCAAAATTCGGACAGAACTTATGGGATGACCTGATATATATATATAATCCTTGGCCAGTTCTAACCTTTATATATATATATATATATATATATATATAATCCTTGGTCCTGCCAGTTCTAACCTTCACGGCTATATATATATATATATATATATATATATATATATATATATATATATATATATATATACACGCCTGGTCAAAATCATAAGACCAGATAGAAAAGGGTTAAAAAATATAGAATCCTGCTACTTTAATCGAAATATATTTGCGAAACATTTACATTTAATTAAAAAATATAGTTTATCAACAAACATGTGAAAATTTTAAGCTTTTAATTGATTAATTTAAACAAATATTGAAAAAGTATTTGGGGGGTTGGTAAGACCATGTAAATAAAAATAGAAAATACGAGAAAAAATAAGTAACAACGACAATTTAATATTCAGTGTATCCTCCATTTTTGCGAATTACTTCGAAAATTCGTTTTGGCATAATCATTATTAACTTCTGCATGAGGGTGCTTGGGATGCTTGTCCAGGATGCATAAGCTGCAGCACAAAGAGCATCGACACTTTCAAATTGCGATCCATGTTTATAAACATCCTTTGCCATCTATCCCCAAACATTCTCGATTGGGTTTCGATCTGGACAGCGTTGTGGATTGCAGCATTGTCCTGCTGGAAATTCTAGTTTTTCCACATAGATGAGGGCCTTCAGTAATTAGCGATGTCTTTTTTAACATGTGAATATAACTAGTAGCTGTTTGACGACCTTTTACCTCCTGTAACTGAAGAGTTCCATTGTACGAACATGAACGCCAAACTATAACTGATCCACCTCCACTATGTCGTGTTGAGAAAATTTCTTTGGGGACATCTTTTGCATGCTAGTAACGCTGAAAATTGTCTGGGCCATCAAGTTTCATTTTTTTCACGTCTGAAAACAACACTTTATTCCATTTATCCACATCCCAAGTTTGATACTCAGAAGAAACTTGTAAACGGGAGGTTTTATGGCGGGGAAGAAGGCGGGCCCTTTGCAGCCGTTTCAAGTTCTTTAACCTTTTCTTATTTAAATGCCATCGAATTGTTCGAGAGCTGCATTCAGCATCTGTATTCACTTTTACCTGATTTGATGTTAGGCTTGAATCTCTCTTAACTTCTCGCCTAATGCGTCTGTCTCGAAATGGTGAGATTTTATTGGAGCGACCGCTTGATTTTTTAGAAGCATACGCATCCGGATTTTTAATAAAGTTAGCAATGACAGTTCTGCTACGACCAATTTCATTTCCAATGGCTCGTTGCGAAAGGCCACGTCTTTGAATCCCAACAATCCCACCCTGTTTGAATTTTGTTAAAATTTTACCCTTAGCCATTTTAAAATCTGAAATTTCATACTGGAAATGAGCTACGTAGATGTCTACACACCTGAAGCTATGAGCACACTGACTAGTTCTAAAATGTTTGTCCAGTAATTTTTT